TTTACAATAGTTATATCTTCTTCATGAAGTGACCCCTTTATCATTCTGTAAGGACCATGCTTGTAATTGTTACTCTTTGGGGCTTAGTCTATTTTATCTTAGATACACCTGCTCTCTTTTGGTTTCCATTTACGTAAAGTGTCTTTTTCCATTCTTTCACTTTGTGCCTGTTTGCCCTTAAAGCTGATGTAAGTCTCGTGTAGGCAGACTACAGTTAGTTCTTGTTTGTTTTGTTTTGTTTTAGATCCACCTAGTTAGTCTATGCCTTTGGATTAGAGAATTCAATCTATTTACCATTTACACTTAGAGTGATTATAGGTAAGAACTTACGAATGCCATCCTATGTTCTGACCCTTTGGTACACCCTATGTTCCAGTCTTTCACTCCTGCTGACTTCTTTTTTGAATTAATGATTTTAAGTAGTGATATGCTTTGATCATCTTCTCTTTATCTTTTGTGAACATCGGAAGTTTTTGCTTTACGATTTTCATGATGTTTATGGAAAACATAAATATAATAGTCTATGTTGATAAGAATATAACTTCACTGTCATATAAATATCTTTGTACTCCCTTTTTTAATTTTGGGATGTCACAATTTCCATCTTTCTGTATTGTGTACTCATTAACAAATTATTGTACTTAATAGCTACTTTAATGCTTTTTTCCTTTACTTTTTATACTAGAGTCAAGTGGTTAACACACCACCATATTGCTATATTAGAATATTCTGAATCTGACTGTATACCTACCTTTACCAGTGTGTTGTATATTTTCATATGTTTTCATCTTACCAATTAGTGTCCCCACAGGTTGGGGACACACTAAAGCATGCTGTGACCCTGAGTCTAGTAGTGCAGGGTGCCAAATGCGAGGGCATGTGATGGCACTAGGTCCAGAGGGGTGTGATGTCCCTTTGGCTCAGGCTGCCAGGCTTCACAGCATCAACAACTGTGTGGTCCTTGGCAGCAGGGCAGATGGTCCGCAGTGTCTGCAAGGGCTGCTGGAGTGCTCGGCAGCACTTCCAGGCTCAGCAGCTGGAAACCAGGGCAGGCAGTGGGGGTAGCCAGAGCTGGTGGTGTGCGCGCACTTGACTGCAGGGGCCTGCTGCAGGTGCCTGTGTAGTAGTAGGGGCCGTTTGCAGACACACGTGGTGGTTGGGGCTGGGCATGGAGCAAGGGCCAGGGCCAACTATGGGGTAATTGACAGCTACAGGAGTGCACTACTGTGACTGCTGGGTCTCACCAAAGGCTCATGGCAGTGGAGGCCTATGATGAGAATTGGGCCTAGGGTGTGCACTGCACAGTTGGAGGGGCTATCTGCTGATGAATGCAGTGATACAGGCCGCTGAATGTAGGCAGGGCTTGATCCAGGACAGCGAGCAGCTAGAGAGGCCCTGGTTGTCCATGTGCTCTTCCATGGCTGTACAGTCCTCCCTCTCAACCCCCACTCCGGGTAAGCATACTGCAGTAGGGGCCGGTGACGGGCGTCCGACAGGCAGCATGCAAGTGCACAGCCGGAAGGGCCCGCCCCAAGCAGGCACACTGCTGTGGGAGTCAATGTGAGGGTCTAGATTGTCATCTTTCAGTCATGCAGCCGCAGAAGACTGGACTGGCAACCAGTGCAGCTCATGGACTCCAGCAGGAGCAGGGGTAGGGAGCAGGGAGGGACTCAGGTGGCCGGTGTCAGTGACTGAGAATACCTGTGGAGCAAAAGCTAGTGAAATCTACAGAATGTCTGTGGCAGCTGTGCTGGCCATGGGCCTCTTCAATGATAGAATCTGCTGGTGTGTCTGCAGAACAGGTCACTGTTCACCACAATCACTCCTGCCATGTGGCTGCCACTGGTAACCCTGCTTGTCTCCCTTGTTCCCAGCTGTCTCCATGTGTCTCAGCTTTGCTGGTCTGGGTGGGGTGAAACCAAGGCAGACCTTTGCGCGGTGCTGCAAAAGGCTGGGGAAGTTGGTCTCACACCCTTCTCTTCCTTTTCTGCTGAGGGGAACTCTTTTTAGCTGGGAATTTTCCACTTGGAACTGAGCAATGCCAGCATGGGGCGTGGGACAATGCCGGCAGAATGCAGCCGTTCTTCCTTCTCTCTTGTGTAGTTATTCTCAGGTCTTTAGTTCCACTGTGTTGCTGAAGTTTCTTAAGTGGGCTCCAGACCTCTCCCAGAGCTGTGTCATGGATAGCTGTGTAGTTGTTGATTTTTGTCGGGGAACAGAGGTTGGGGTCTCCCATGTCATCATTCTGTTGACATCACTCTATATACGTATTTTTTGATATGTCATATTTTCATTTTTCAGTTCAAAATACTTTCTATTTCCTATCATGATTTGGTTTTGACCCATGGTTCCTTAGAATAGTTTTTCTATCTAATTTTTAATCAAATGGAAAGTTTTTTCTATTTAATTTAATTTGTTATTTGATTCCACTATGGTCAGTTCAATTTCAATTTGACATTCATTTTTTAAATGTGTTATATACTCTTGAAAAGAATGTATACTCCATAGTAATTCCGGACTCTTTTCGATATAAATTGATTAGTCACTTTTTTATTGATGTTGTTCAAATCTTCTATATTCTTACTGTTTTGTTTTTTTTTTTTAACTATTATTATTCTATCAGTTACTGAGAGAAGTATGTTAAAATCATCTGCTGGTCAATTATGCTTCTGACAACGGCAGGCCAGTTTACTCGGGTCAGTTCTTCCAATAAAGCTAAAATGAGATACCCTGGGGGACTCCCAGCCCACACTGTTGAATGCCAACCTCCTCCTGCCTCTGCAGTTTTCAGAGTGGGTTAACTCCTGGCTTTGAAGCCAGACAGCCAAGGGCAAAGTGCACCTGGGAGCGAAAGGGCGTGTCCTATCTACCTGGTGGCTCCAGAGTTTTTTCTCAACTGCTTCTTTTTTCTAATTGCTCAGTGGGAAACAGTTCACTGGTTTTGTCCTAAGGCAATCACCCCCTGCGAGTGCAGGAGAACACTAAGGACCTGTCCTCCTTCGTACAGTGCCCCTCCCCAACCCTATTCCCCTACTTTAAACCCCCTACTTTAAGCACAATTCTGGCCCTTGGCAGGGACATATTTCAGGAAACTCAAGTACAGAGGCATAGGAGAATGAGATCTGTATATTCATTGGCCGTAAACTTGCTGGGTGAACTTGGGTAGGTTCAGCCACCTATCTGTGCCTGTTTGTTCTCTTCTGCTAATTTTAGGAAACAATACTTGTGCTCTTCAGTTTTTATGGCTATAACAACAGAGACAGAAAAGGCAAAGTTGGCAAATTAGAACCTGCTAGGGTCATATAGCTTAATACCAAATTCATGATTCAACCTTACCCACAACTTCTTCTGTTGTTGTTGGGGCCAAGGGAATGATAGGATATGAGCCTTTTGTTTCCTTCAGATTCTCTTTCTATTCCCCCCAGTTCTAGATTTAATTTTGTCAAGGAGAAAAAATGACTTTCACTCTTAGATATCTCAATTCTGCCCCACCCCTCAAGGTAGGACCAACTATCTCTTCTACCAGGAAGCCTGATACCACAACCCGCAGCAACCCCTCTGTCTTCTATATTTTAAGGCACTGACCGTATGTCCCATTGGTCCCTTCTTGTCATGCCCCATCTTGGTTTCTGCTTATTTGGATCATAAGGCTTAACCTTTCTTTGGGCTATATGTCAACAAATAGAGTTAGTGACACCTCCACTCACATGGAGTGGCCTTCGCCACAAGGCTGGGCATATGGTAGGTTCTCTATAATCCTCTAAAGGTTGCTTATTCTTTTTAAGAGCATTTACATTTGACAATATTTCTATAGCTCCCAAACAATTGGATAAATAATGGTAACAAATTAGGCATTGTCTGGAAAGAGAATTGGGGGAGGCCAATGGCATTCTCTTTCAATTCTAGTCCATCGGTGCTGTCACCTTCAGGGAATATTGTACCTCATGGATTCATTAAAAGAGGTGGTAGCTTGTGGGAACCTATTAGAATCACAGACCCAAGATAACAGGAGAAAGCCTATACCAAGGAATCTCGGAGGGACAGTGTTTTCTGTAGCTATAAGAACATCCACACACAAGCAGTTTTCCCCAGGGATGTAAGTCGATAAAGAGAAGTAGAGTCCAGGAGTCGTGGTTAAGAAGATCAAGCCTCTAAAGGGCAAGAAGGCAAGGAAATCCAAACTGGGAGGCGGGGTGGGGGACTTAGGTAAAAGGGGAGCGTGGGGCAGCGAGCGGGACCGGGGCCATACAAGAACAAACAGAAGTTCTGCCTTACTGGCACAGCGTATTTTTCAAGGAATTGAGGCTGATGATATAATAGTTCAGGGAAGAGAGTTGGTAGGTAGGAGAGACATTGCCCTAGGCCCCCTCCCCCAACCACAGCTGGGTCAAGAAGATGATCCTCCTTGAGGTCATGTAGCATTCTTCCAAGTTCTTCTGGGTAGCCTCCAACTCTCAGTGGTTAAAGAGCTTAAGGGTAGACATCATGTTACTGATTTCATTGTCTGGACTGCTGCTCCCTAGAAGAGAGAAGGGGTAGGATGGAGCCAGGGTCCTTGAATCATGGTACAGGTGGATGTTTACTGACCACCTCGGTGAAATATATTGTGAATGAGAATAAATTTATACTGTGTTAACCCCATGACATCTTTATAAACCTTTGTATTTTTGCTACAGCCATGAACTTACCAAACTAATACACAGGTCTAACTGGGAAGGCAGAGTTGGGTGCCTGTGCCCATAACGGAATGTGAACAACTGTGGGGGGCCACTGGAGGTTGTAATGAGAGAAATACAGGTACAGGGATGAAGTACAAGAAAATGCGAAGCCCTCAGTTTGGTATATTAGTTTATTTGGCAAGGACTTGAGCCGTTTCAGGATAGAGAGGTCAAGGAGAGAATAGAGAGGTCCTCAGCTGGAGCCAGTGGGTATCAAACAGAGAGCCAGGAAGCAATCTTCTTAGACCATATAGTCATCCTCCTGCTCACATTAGTGGTGAGTTAGCGAAGGTTTAGCAATGATTTCATGGGTTCTCTGGAAGAGAAAAGTTAAGTGGTTAAAATTCAGGGAACCCTGGGGGACATCCATTCCCAAACTTAATAACACCCTTGGCCCCAGTTTATGGGAATATCAATTCTTTCTGTGATATCAGGAGTTACTTGCTTTTAAGCAATTTTACCCAAGAGGTTTGCCAGTTGAGCAGACAGGTAGCGACCAGGTCTCTTTGGGCCTGGCTGAGACAAGGGGCCAATGGAGGCCAGACTACACAGGCAATAACTGGAGACGTTGGGTAAAGGAGGGATAAGCAAGCTGGTGGATGATGTTTTGGGAGGACTGCATGACTGCATGAGAGTGAAAAAAATAAATAAAGGCCCCCATGTTGGTATTTTAGTTCATTTTGCAGCAAGTGGCAGTCTAGGTGTGGCGATCAGAGTGCATTGCCTTACGCCACCTGTCTCTCTGACCAGGATTTGGATGAACTGCAGCGTGCCCGGGCCCCTCCTCCCCTCGCCAATCAACCTACTCATTGTCCAAGCAGATGTTTCCACAGAAGGTCCAGCAGCATGTGTGATTTGGTTGTAAACATGTTAGTGATCGAGTGCACCTTTCCTCACAAAAACTTTCCGGAGGCTGTACCCAGCACTGCTCAGTTTCTCCTGTGTCATCTGTAACTCAGATGGTAGAGGTTGGCAGGGTCGATCCATCCATAACTCAGAAAAGAAACTCTTCGCTAGCTTAACAACCCCTCGGCTCTAGAACCTGAGCTCCAAGCATTTCTCTGCCTTTCAAGAAAATCCCTTCCCTCAGCCCCTTCATTATCCCCATTTTCTTATCAGATGACCTCTAACTTTGACTTCCTAAGGGCCTCTTATTTTTCTCATGGTCTAAAAGATTCTGCCCCTTAAATGAAATGAATGTGCTAAAATCCCACCCTTTTGGTATTCATCAAAGGCTCACTCAGATCAGACTCAGAGATTCTAAAACTATGGACTCAGAGGGGAGCTCTATGTTGATGTTTCCTCTACTCACAGTGGTCTAACACTGGAAAATATAATTTCCTGTGAGCTTATGAAATGTAGACAAAAACTATGTTTCCTTTCCACATACCCATTATTGCTTTCAGATCTGAGAGAGGGAGCTTGAAGGGATGCCAGACTGGGAACATCCAACCTAATCTTTCCTGGATGTCCCTGCTTTAAGGAGCGTTCTGATCCTTTGAAGGGTGATCCTGAAATTGGTGCCTGGATCATTATGCCAGACATCCCAGGCCAGGGCAGACCACCCTCCTCCTTTGCCACACAACCTGTTGGATGTTTGTTCTTGATACCACCCAGCACAGGCAGAAGCATCACGACCCCATAGATGAGCATGATGAGTGGGAGAACCCAGGGCTTCATGGTAGTCTCTATTTGTGTTTGGGTTAAGTTCTGGCAGAAGACAGGTCTTTTCCAAATGCTGCTAGAGGTAGAAAAGGAATTAAATTGAGAACAGGGTAGGAAAGGGAGAGAAAGTTCTTGTGAATATTGTGTTATTTTTTCTCCTACTTTTCCTATTCACCCTCTGGAACCCAACAACATATCAAGCTAGCCATTGGCTTCCCCAAGCTTCCATCCCATCTCACATTACATACCACTTTCTTCGCAAAATTATTTCTTTTAAAAATGCATCGCTATTTTTCTAATTAAAAATCAATAGCTCTTCAGATTGTATAATTTGTAAAACAAAAATAATATATACAAATAAGAAAGGAATAAGCATTAGGAATTCCACCACCCCAGAGATAATCAGTATATGTAAATCCTTTAATGTTGTAGTCATTATTTTTATGAAATTAGAATAATAGAACATATTAAGTGTTCTGGTTTTTTATTTAAAAACATATGTAACTAGATAATATATTTTAGTCAAGATCTTAAAACAAAGAGTGATTCCAGAATGAGTGAGGAGATGGATTACTCAGGCAGACTTGAGAAAAAATGATGGCCAGCAACCGGTCAGGGGATTCTTAAAACTTTCATCTACATAAATGGTCTCAATGCAAGTTTTAGGCACATGATCCTCTAGCACATTACTTTGAGACAAATTTAAGTGACCTGACGAGAGACAAGAGCAAGAGAAAGAGATTATAGAGAGAAGAAAATAGGAGAAAAGTCCTTAAAATGTAAAAGAGCAGCTGTTTGCACGTTTCCACTCTTAGATGCTTATATCTGCTCTGCAGCTTACTCCATTCAGAACCCACATTCCTGCCACCTTGCCTCGGCATGGCTTGATGAAGGAAAATTGCCAAGATAAGGTATTGAGGTATCATTTACCATTGGGCAATATTGACATCAAAGGATACAACTTAATTAGTGAAGCTTTAGGCCAAAGGAGAACTATTTTTGAGCTTGGTAGGCTTCCAGAAATACTATAAATCACTTGCATTTTTTGCACAGGGAAGTCCTTGAACATGGCTCAGAGTATTCGGATCCTCTGAAGGCACCAGCACAGAGGAAGAAAGATGTATAATGCAGATGCTCTGTTAGCCACTTACAGGTGAGGATATGACGTATGAGGTAACTGGGTCAAGGCTGGTGTGGATTGGGATGGCCTCGGGTTCCTGGCACCTGCCTTTTGCACGAAGAAGGAGGAAGAAGACTGGCACAGTGACAGAAACACAATAAATCCAGAGTAATGGGTTCTATGAAGTTGTTTATTTGTATTCGAAAATGTTCTAGAACCAAGTTTTCTAGAGCTTTAAGATCTGTTCATTTAAAAAGCCTCACGCTTAGCCCAGTTTTCTGAGTTCTTTACTGGCTTTTAAAGGGTTTTCAGGAACTGGGGATGCCCAATTCCCTTTTTTTGTATGCTTCAGGTGTATTAAGTGATACCAGAAAAGCATCATGTCCTGGCCAGGTACTACTCATATACACACAGAGTTCTGGTTGAATTCTTTGGCCATCCTGAAATAGAGTATAGGACAATGAAAAGGTCCCTAGGCATCTTAAGACATGGAACTACTGCTCCCCAACCCCAAATTTTGGATCCCTGGGCTTTCCAGATGATGTTAAGGAAGAGAACGTATTGGACTTTGAGTCAGGAATGCTGGTATATTGTTTTATCTCTGTCCCTTTAGGTCATTTCACTTCTCTTTCCATTTTCTTATTTGAACAACAGAGACAGTACTCCCCACCTCACAGGAGTAGTGTTGACACCACCTGAGTGGGGAACCCATCCAAGTCAGCCACAAATAAAAACTCACGCCTCGAGACCTGTACCCTCACCTACCTCTGAAGGTGTCTAAGTTGAATGTCTGCAGTAACAGGTTGACAGCTCTTTTATCTGGACTCTTCTTACTTGGGGAAGTGGGAAGGGACACTGTGGCCTGAGACAGGGGACAGAAGATCAGAAAAACAAAGTTCAAAGGCCTAGAACTTAATGATGATTTTGGTAGTGACAGATCTTTAAGTTCTGCCCAGGAACTACATGTTGGTCATATTGCAGATTGTTTTCTTTGATACTCACCCATCTAGAAGTACAGAAGTACTGGGTCTTCTTTGATGTGAGCAGTATCTTCTGCTAAGCTTGGAGGAACATTGCATATCTGGGTTACAGCTCTGGTCGCCTCCAGCAGACCCTGGTCTAGAGTCTTAAGAATGCATCTGAGTTTATTCACATGTAGGGAGAGGAGGATGGTGTGTATATGTATTTCTCCTTAACTTGTTGTGTGGGCTATTAAAGGTCCCACCCTTCTCTGTATTGATTCTCCTTTGCTACTTAAACATAACATATCCCACCAAATGCTCTGCAGCTTTTAGTGGATAAAAAGATACTGAACGGGAAAGACTTTAGAAAAAATAGATGACCCCCTATTAAATGAAGGAAGCGAAATGATTAGCACCAATCACTTCACCAAAGGGGTAGGGGGATTGTTCACCAAATATCAGAGAGGAGCATTATATTGGGCACACATATGCATGACTTGGAGCTCATTAGGAAAAAGAAGAGTCGAGTAGAAAAGACCAGGAACTCCCAATGAACAAACCTCCTTCTCCCAAATCCTGTTCATAGGAACATTTTATACAGTGAAAGGAGCTATCCATATATAAGTGATTTGCCCCTTTTTTGGGTGCCTTGAACAGCAAGAAATATATGCCATGATTCCAGGAACTTGGCTGAGGAGGGTGGACAAGTACAGAGACATAAGGCAGAATTTGGAGACCCGGGTACAAGGGTGCGAGAGGGAGCAAACTGAAAGGAACTTTGATGGGAATTGCAAATGGTGCCACACCTAAAATGATTGAATTATGGATTCCCAAGACACTGGTTTATATAGCAAGAAAATGACATTTTATGCAGGGCATTCCCAGCCTCATGCTCTGTATCTGGCCCAGATATTGGGGGTCCTTAATGGTTTGCTTGAGGGGCACCAAGGAGGTACCTCCCAGGATTCCTGCCACTCTTGGTTCTGGATTATGCAGGTGGGTCTGCAGAAAGCAATGCAGAATTTAAGACAACAGTGCTCGCTCTCACTCGCTCTCTCTCTCTCTCCCTCTCTCTCTTCTTCTCCCTTTCTCTTCCTCCCTCTCTCCTCCAAGCCCAAAAGGTTTTTCATCCAAAATTCCTCTTTCAGAGCTAGGTCTTAATACCTGATTGGGGAAAACAGAAATGGACTACACTGAGTGCCTACTGTGTGCCACACACTGTGAAGGTGTTTATATGTGTCATCTAATTCCATCCTCACAGCCGAGGTGCCAAGAAAATATGGGTAAACTGAGTCTATAGAGGTCATAGGATTTTCCCAGTGTTACAAAGCTGGTGTATTTTGAAGTCAGGATACGATTCCACATCTGCCTGAGCGCGATATCTGTGAACATTCCTCCACTACCCAAATTTTTATAGGCAATAGAGGACTGATTCCTGCCCAATATCTCCCCATTTATACTACCATGCCCTACAGGATTTGAGGAAATTGACACTCATCCTCTGTTGAGTTTCACATGTTTATTTCAAAAACTAATTCTCTCTCTCTCTTAATGTATATATACATATACATGTATGTATGTGTATGTATGTATTTATTTATTTATACTTAAAATATCTACTTACTCTTTCATCCACAATTTCTACTTCTCTTACATCAGTCTAAAATTAAGGCAACCAACCGAATGAGAGAAGAGATGCCTCTAATAAGGGGTATCTCTAATAAGGGGTAATAAGGGGTAATAATGATACCTCTAATAAGGGGCTAATATCCAAAATATACAAAGAACTCACACAACTCAACAACACAAACAAACAAAACAAAAAATAAATGGGCAGAGAACCCAAACAGACACTTTTCCCAAGACACGTTACAAATGTCCAATAGATATATGAAAAGATGCTCAGCTTCACTAGATATAAGGGAAGTGCACATCAAAACCACAGTGAGATACCACTTCATACCTGTTAGGATGGCTATTATCAACAAGACCAGAAACAAGTGTTGGAGAGAAAACGGAGAAAAAGGAATCCTCATACATTTCTGGTGGGAATGTAAATTGGTGCAGCCACTATAGAAAACGGTATGATATGTTCTCAAAAAATTAAGAATAGAGCTACCGTATGACCCAGCAATCTCTCTTCTGGGTATCTAACAAAAATATTTGAAAACATTTATTCATAAACATATATGTTCTCCTGTGTTCATCACAGCATTATTCACAGTAGCCAAGACGTGGAAACAACCTAAGTGTCCCTCAATGGACAATTGGATGAAGAACATGTAGTACATATACACAATGGAATACTACTCAGTCATAAGAAAGGATGAAATACTGCTGTTTTCGACAACATGGGTAGATCTTGAGAGTGTCGTGCTAAGCAAGGTAAGTCAGATGCAAAAGTACAAGAACCATATGATTTCACTCACATGTGAGATATAAAACAAAAAGCAACGAATGAACAAACAAGACCAACAAACAAACTCGTAGACACAGATAACAGTATGTGGAACCAGGGGGAGGAGAAAGTGAGGGGAGAATGAAGAGGAGAGAGAGAGTCAAATATCTGGTGACAGAAGGAGACTAGACTTTGGATAGTGAGCACTCAGTGCAATACGCAGATGATGTATTATAGAACTGAACACTTGAAGCTCTTATAACTATGAACCCAAGTTACCACAATAAATTAAATTTTTTAAAAAGTAAGGATTTATGAATAAAAATGCTCAACATGATATTGTCTAGTTAATAAGTAATTAGTACAACACAAATGCTTGGCATAGGTATTTATTTTAAGTGAGAGATGTACAATTAAGGACATCGATGTTTTGTGAAATATTTACATGATTAAATGAAGGCGGGACAAGATGGGCAACAAAAGATAAGTAATTCAAAATGTGAGAAAACAAAGGATTTCTTGCATTAAATACACGAAGAAACTAAAAAGATAATGGTGCTGACTCTTGAACAATGTGAGGGGTAGGGACACCAGCCCCCCACAGTCAAAATCTGCTTATAACTCTGGATCCCCCAAGACTTAATTTAATCATCCGTTCCCATCTGCAGATTCAACCAGGTTGGGAAATGGAAAACACTGTTTTCCATCCATTGTTGCTGAAAGCCACGGATGTGAAACCCAAAGATACCCAAGGGCCAACAGTATTTGCTGAAAAAAATCCAAGTATAAGTGGACCCATGCAATTTGAACCCATGTTATTCAAGGATCAATTGTACGAGACACAAATTAATTCTACACACTGAGATTATTATTTTTTAATTATATTATTCTTTTTATCCATTCATTATTTGGTAATTAGAAAATAGAAATAGATTAAATTTTTCAGGGGGAAAAAATCTATTTACAAAAGGAGAGGCTACTTATGTGAGAGGAGGAGCCATCTCTGCAGGAGGCCCACATGGAACAGGCCATGGAAGGGGCAGGTGCAGGGGAGGAAATAAGGACTCCTTGCCCAGCCCTGGCCTACCCAGTGAGGCAGGAGGAGCCCAGAATAACCTGTGCTTTCTTTCCTCCACCCTCACACCAGCTCTCCAGCGAAGCCTGTGCCAGACTTTAGAGCTCACTGCTATGGCCAGACTCATGTCAGCCCAGACTCTGCTGCCCATCCTGCTTCTCTGTGCGCTGCTGCTGCAGGCCCATGGAGGGTGGATTTTCAGGAAGACGAACAGTAGGTGATGGGCTGGAGGGCAGGATGGGGAGCAGGGAGTGGAGCTATGTCTAGCTACAGAGGATCTAGGAATTAGAACCTTTCAGTACATCCTGCTCTGACCGCAGCACTACGAAGACTCTGGGTCCTCCCCAACCATGGCCCTCCAGCCCCTTTACCGGGCCTTGAAACTAGTGATGGGGGTGGAGGGGAACCTACATTTTTTTAGCCTCTGTTCTAAAAATCCAGAGACATATGGTACGTACAATAGTGAAAGGGCCACAACGCTGAGGATCAGATGAGAAAACAGAACAACTCTTCTTTGATTTATGCACATACGTGACAGGTCAACAGCCAGAGGTGTTAACGGGAATAGGTGCAGAACGAAAGGATATTGGGAAATTAAATTTTGGGGTGTGCAGGGTCAGGTTACAATTATCATCAGGGGAACCTGGATGGTGGCTGTGGAAGAGAAATATTGAAAGTGCTCTTTCCTGGGAAGGTGCAGAAAAACTGGACAGTGACAGTGACAAGAGGAAAGAGAGGGCGGAGAGGCAAGTTTGTCTTCCTCTCCGGACCCTGCAAATTCTGGAGAGTGGGGAGAGTTTGCAGATGTCTCAGACTGTGCTGAGTTTTCAGGGTCAGAGTTTAGATTCTATGGGGTGACTTCACCAAGGCCAAGACTAATATGAGACACAGGGTCCTGGCCACAGGAGTGTGGAGAAGGTTCAGGATGCTCAGGCATTGAGATTAGGGGAAGATAGTGAGATGGAGGGATGAATTTAAGACACCACAGATCACCAAGATTTGGTGAGGGGCAGAAAATAAGTTCCCTGAAAAGTGTGAGTGTAATAAGTGGGACTGTGTCTGGGGTCACAGAGGATGCTATGCCCTTGAAAGAGGTGGTCTGTGGAGGCTTATTCCATTGTCCCTCCTCCTGCTCTGTTTCAGCTATAGCAGTGTCCACAGAAGTCAAGCCGTGTGTGAAGAAAGTCAGGCAACATCTGTGCAAATTCAACTGTGAAAATTACCGGTCATGTCAAGCAAATAATATATGCTGTTCGACCTACTGTGGGAACGTTTGCATGAACATCCTGTGAGTGGGAGAGGGGCCTGGGCTGTGCATCCTGCTCCCGCAAGCCTCTATGTATGACTGCGCCTGCGGCCAAAGCACGAGGACCTCAAATCCCAGGCCCCGGGGGACCAACCGCAATGTCACCCTCCCCACTGTCTGAACTTCTTGTTCCTGTCGAATAAACCAGGACAAACGGCAGGGACCTGCCTATTTGCCTCCCAGTGCTGTGGTCATTGAGAACCCCGTGTGTACCCCAGAGTGTCCCCGCCTCTCC